GAAAATAGTGGGGTTAAAACCATGAAATTCACATTTTAAGCGATTTTAGAAAATTGCTTGTGACTGAAATTAAAGCTTGAACCCTGTAGTTTAAAGTAAAATTTTGATATAAACAACAATAATAAAAATTGATCGTCAAAAATGATTTTATTTGACAGTTGTCAACCAAAAAGTCACGTTTTTTTGGGCAGTTTTTAAAAATTTGTACCGGATGAATTTTCACGTGTTTATGCTTGGCATAGGATTCATATAAAACTTAAACCATGTAATTTACTGTAAAATTATGATGTATAGAACAATGTTGTCAAAAATCGACGTAATGAGTAAATTTTCCTGATTGATAAATGTCAAATTATCTTTTTTGACAACTTATTTACATTGTTGTTGCATATATCAAAATTTTTACAGTAAATTACAAGGTTCAAGCTCTAATATAAGATATATGTTAAATTTTTAACACGTCAGATTCACCTGGTACAAACTTTTTAAAAAATGCACGAAAAAACGTCATTTCTTGCTTGACAACCGCCAATTAATTGTTTTTGACGACCAATTTTCATTGTTGTTGTTTATATCAAAATTTCACTGGAAACTACAAGGTTCAAGCTTTAATTTGAGTCGCAAGCAATTTTCTAAAATCGCCTAAAATGTGAATTTCGTGATCAGATTCGGATTCAGCGCATCCAGAACTGCGAGAAATGATTTCCCGACCTCAGATAACAGAATTTTTTTTCAGGCTAGAGTTATAACAATTGAAAGTAGAATTTTTTTGGGTCATTCCATTATATTTCACCTAAAGTCGTTGCGGCCTAATTTTTAAAAAACTTGGTACTTTCAGAAATGATTCTTTATAATATTTAGGAAACGAAATAAAAAGAATTAAGTTTAAATTTTTATTATTTATCTCAAAATATGTATTTAAAGTGGACAAGGTGCGGAAAAATGTCACCTTTTTAGCATTTAGAAACTTTTTTTAAAAACATAGAAAAATTGTTAAAAGTGTAAAAAAAATTATTTTTTCTTGTTTAGAATCGATTAATTATCTATTTTTTAATGATTAAAGTAGTAAATAAATTAAAATAATATATAAAATAAGTTTTCAAAGTTGGTCTGTCAAATAACCTAATTTTGGGATTTTTATTAATTAATTACTAAAAAGTGGAGTTATTAAATAAAATAAAAACTTACCGAATGTAAAGTATTTGTGGTGAACTTTCAAATTTTCTTAGCACTTTTTACTTTTTCCATTTATAAATGTAAAAAATCTTGAGTCGAAAATTGGCACTTTGTTGATTTTTCCGATTTTTAATCGCTTGTAACTCTTTTGGTGCAAAATAAAAACTTTTGAAACCTGGCGGAATATTTAAGTTAAATCTAAATAAAAACTCACTGCAATTTTCGTGATGGATTTTGATCGAGATTAGAAGAAAATTTAATTCCAAAATTGTACGTATATTTCCAGGTTAATGTATGTAATTTTTCGTCTTTGAAGTAGTGGCCCAACTTCAAGTTTAAAAAAATTACATACATTAACCTGGAAATATACGTACAATTTTGGAATTAAATTTTCTCCTTATCTCGATCAAAATCCATCACAAAAATTTAAGTGAGTTTTTATTTAGATTTAACTTAAATATTCCGCCAGGTTTCAAAAGTTTTTATTTTGCACCAAAAGAGTTACAAGCGATTAAAAATCGGAAAAATCAACAAAGTGCCAATTTTCGACTCAAGATTTTTTACATTTATAAATGGAAAAAGTAAAAAGTGCTAAGAAAATTTGAAAGTTCACCACAAATACTTTACATTCGGTAAGTTTTTATTTTATTTAATAACTCCACTTTTTAGTAATTAATTAATAAAAATCCCAAAATTAGGTTATTTGACAGACCAACTTTGAAAACTTATTTTATATATTATTTTAATTTATTTACTACTTTAATCATTAAAAAAATAGATAATTAATCGATTCTAAACAAGAAAAAATAATTTTTTTTACACTTTTAACAATTTTTCTATGTTTTTAAAAAAAGTTTCTAAATGCTAAAAAGGTGACATTTTTCCGCACCTTGTCCACTTTAAATACATATTTTGAGATAAATAATAAAAATTTTAACTTAATTCTTTTTATTTCGTTTCCTAAATATCATAAAAAATCATTTCTGAAAGTACCAAGTTTTTTAAAAATTAGGCCGCAACGACTTTAGGTGAAATATAATGGAATGACCCTTTTATAATTTATTTGTAATATATTGCTTCGAAATATTAATACCTTTTACTAATTGGACTTTTTCCGGGGACAACGCCTCACGAAATTGAGCATCATCGATTACACGTCCCCTATTCGCTCTCATAACATTAAGGCACTTTTGGCGTAGTACTTCGTCACCCCACAAAGTTTGAGCCAATTCTCGGACAAATTTGGAATCATTTTTGGATCTCATTGTCTCCCAAATGTCTCTATGGATCCTTATGTCTGCATTGATGTGCACCTATTGCAAATAAAGAAATTTATATTAAATTGTTAGTTAACCCTATTGAAAATTCCTTTAACGATCCTATAAAATTAATAGAAAAACTCACATAATCTTCAGTTCGGTCATAACGTACACCTAAGTAATTCTGTTGTCTGTACGGACGTTGCTCTGCGTTATTAATGTGTGGTTCGTTTACAGCAACTTGTCTGTCTTCATTTGCTTGCATGTTCCGAGTTTGTCTGTTCTGACCAATTTGTCTGTTCTGTCTATTTTGATTATTTGATCTATTTTGGTCATCTTGTCTGTTCTGGCCAACTTGTTCATTCATACCTTGCCTATTCTGATGATCTTGTCGGTTCGATGTCGTTTCTTGGTCTGAAGAAAAGCTTTGGTTTATAGGCGATCCTGGATTCGGAGGTGAATCTAAATTCGGATAAGTTGTTTCTAAATTTGAAAGTGGTCCTAAAGTCGAAGATGATCCTGAATTCGGAGGTGCTCTTTGCTTTGGAGACATTCGTGAGTCTTGAGGTAATCTTTGGTTCATAGGTGATCCTGAACTCGTAGATGGTCTTGGGTTTGGAGATGCTTTGCTGTTAGAACCTGTTGTTTAAAACAATGTTTATTTTAATTATGAATTAATAATTGTAAACCATAAATAGTTGTCGTGTCAAATAATAAAAAATACAATTTAAGTTTAAAAAAAGTCTAAATTTAAACATATTATAATTTTAAAAATAAGTCAAACTCAAGAAAAATTTTTTTGTTTCTTTGACTAATAAAGTTATAGAAAATTCTTAAAACTTCTACGATCAATTAATAGCATTTTTCAAATGTCGATTTTGGTTGCAAACACACTTCCTTTATAACACGGCTACAAATGCTTACCATTTCTTAAACTTGGCTGCATTTCTTCATCTGAATCCACCAAGTTAGTATCAGTATCACTAAAAGATTCATCAGAATCAGTCAGTTCTTTTCGGGTTTTCATGAGTGTTTTGTATTTTTTTAAAATACTTTTGTTTTGAATTTGTGCAGCGCTTTTCTTAAGTGATGTAACTTTGGTGTTTTTTTTCTACAAAATATAAATACAGTTTCAATTTTCCAGTGTAATTATCAGTAATGAAAACACTTTGTTCCCTTATGGCACTGACCGTTCCGACAACGTTGCGAGAACAGTCCCTTGGACCTTCGGTCCGTTTCCGCAAAGTGGACAAGACCATTTTTGATTTCCCTCTAACTGGAACGTTTTTTCCGGACCTTTCAGGGAACCTTAATTTGAAAAAATATTTTAATTGCAACGTATGAAAACGGATATTTTAAAAAAATTTATTGATATTGCAAAGCAAAATTTGCGTTAGAAATTTTTTCTGAAGGAGCCGGAAATACGTTCCTGGAACTTATTCTAGGAACGTTCCTGTCTGGGGAAGTTGTGAACGGTCCTATTCACAGGGCGGAAATGAACCAAAGCAACGGACCGAAGGTCCACTGGGCCGTTCCAACAACAATGGCATAATTACAATAAAATTTTTAAAAATACACATTTCAGTACAATTTCACGTTTTATTTTACTTTAGAATTTATTGAACGTTAAGGCACTAATTAAATCAATTATTTTCCTAAAATTTGTTTCATAGGAAATAAATAAGTCTGTAGTGCAGCGTTTTTAACCATTTTTTTAAATTTGTGACAAAATAACAAGAATGAAATAAATTACAACTTGAAAAGGAGTGCAATTTCCATTATTGCTTATATGTTTTTCAAGTTAAATTAAAAACTATTTATCTTAGAATAACTTAAAAAGTTGATTATTTTTTAATTAATGTATAATTAAAAATGAATTTTTCAAAAAATGTACATTTTTGTTAAATTTCAATGTTTTACTTCCGAATTTGTTGAACAATTTCTACAAAAAATATATTTTTACACTTTTTCTTTTTTTATTTTATCCCGGTCAATTTTTAGAAAAAAGTGCAAGAAAATATACTTTTCTGTATGATGTGCGGCAAAGTTTCAGAATACAGAAATCAAATTTGTGCTGTATTTAAAGTAAAATGGCGTTTTTCTTGCGGGTGTTACACAAATAATATTTTTAGAGAAATTCTGAAATAATTTAATAAACTGACAATTTTTTTTTATTAAGTAATTTTTTTTTAGTCACATATAAATAATTGATTTCTGCTAAGTAATTTCGATAGAAGAAAAGAGGAGTGATTAAATTTTAAAGAGAAACAAAAATTTTACTTACTTTACTACATTTAACTCGACAGGACTTTTTAATAGATGCAGATGCTTCTGCATCTGCATTAATAAAAATTAATATTTTGATTTTATTAATTTAAAAAATAGATCTCGATAAATAAAAAATATTTTACAATTACACTTGGTTTCAAAAATTAATTTTTCAAAAGTTATGTTAAAAAAACTGATTTGCTCCTGACTTCAATCCATTGCATGTCTTCCAACCAGCCACCATTTTGAAAAGTGACGTCACACTATGTCACAAGTTGGACTGCCTTATAGCTCGTCTATTGGTAAAATTTAAAATCGAGAAATTCCAGGCAAAAGTGAGAAAACAGCAGACGCCGGTTCGTTGGAAGCATGGTGCACGTTTTTGTTAGTTCATCGGTTACGTATTGTTTTGTTTAACAGTCGTAAATGTGATTAATTTTTTCGACCATAATTTATCAAGTTTGAGGTGAGTACAATATTAATTGACATTATGTTTATCATTATAATCTAAATTTCCTGCGAAGTTTGCAATTATAGGTTAGGTTATTTGAGCTGAAAAGTTATTGATATTAGTGTTTTGCCAAATATTCCTTAGAAAGTATAATAAAAATATTTTAAGTAATTCTTTTATAAGAAAAATTTTATGAATCTTATTTCAATTTTTAATTTGTTGTTTACAGAGTGTCATGGAAAGTTCAAGACGAAAGAGATATAAAACGTATTTGGAGCCAGGCTCTAGAGATCCGATTCCCTCATCTTCAAAATATAGATATCAAAAGCTCAACAATAAACAGGTATGTGGATTGTTATAATACATAAAAAGTTAAATGATTTTTCATCTTACTGTATTAAGAAGTAGTGTAAAAATTTGTGTAATAGTAAACATTATCTCTTCGGGTCTATATGAATTGATTCTTTTTAAAAATAAATCGATTCTACAGTTATGAACTGAAAAACATATTTTCCAGTGTATATTTTGCTACATATTTTCAAAATCGAAAACATAATTGACCTTCAAGAGATGTGTAATGTACTTTCTAAATGGCTAAATATTTTAATTACCGTTCAAAATAAATTACCAATGATATATTCTATTATTAATTTAACATCAAAAATTAAAAAAAAAAAACATTAAAAGATATAAAATTTTTGTACATAATATTTTTGTATGTTAGAAAAATAAGTCTTTAATATTTTTCTTAAAGCAGTATATAATAAATGAACTTGAATGTGTTTATAGTATTACATTCTATAATATTTCAATCAAAATTTTTATTTACTCTTATATCAAAATATCTTATATTCTTTGAAAAAGGTTCAACCCACTAACATAACCTCAAATTTAAAGATGCTTTATAGAAGTAGAAAACTGTTACTTAAATATATATTATCATGTATTTTAAAGGAACCCTAAGACTATTGTAAAATAAAATTAATACATATATTGATGTGAATTTCTACTGAAAAAAGGACAGTCTGTCTTGACACAGATTTTTCAATGCCCCGCACAGTGTAAATAATTTTTATTTAAAATCGATTTCTCAATACCGCATATAATTACGTAAAAATAATTATTATGCAAACCATCAAAAAGTTTAAAACAAGTTGGATTGTTCCAATGTCGTTATTTTTCCCCAAAAAACGAAGAATATTTTATCTAAAGAGTTTCAAATTTATACACTTTTACGTATTTTTGCGTGTATATTACAAAAAAAATATAGCGAGAACTCCAATTGTGCTTGCTATATTTTTTTGTAGTATTTTGCCATTCTTTATAATTTTCCATTTTTGCCATTTTCTTTTTTTTTACCATTTGCTATTTTTTTTATCTTTTGACATTTTTTATTTGTTTATATTTTTATGATTTGGTGAAATCTAAAAAAAATCATAAAATTAAAAATGTTAAATGATAAAAAAATATTTAAAAACTTATGATATGTATTTCCATGCTCATATTACAGGAAAAATTAAGCAAAATTGGAATTTTTATATCGGCCTTCACACTTTAAACCCCTGCAATTTTAGGATTAGGGGTACGGAACCCTCGGTTTTAATGCGAGTGTAACTCGCACTTGTCCGATTTTTTAAATTAAAGTTGAGAAAGTGTAGATTTATGTCATTTTTGAAATTCTTTCCTAAACATATGAGAAATAGTTTAAATATTCATTTGTTTATTAAATAAACAATTTAATTTGCATAAACAATAAAGGTTAATTGAAATTTCTATTGCATTTCAAAGAGACATCATTTTTCTATATACTCACCAAATTTTATTAAATTTCATTAACAAGCAACAGAGTAATTGCAAATTTTGTGGAAAGGTAACAAAATATTCAATTGTTAATAAATAATTGAAAAATTAATTTTTTAAAAAACGCATTTCAGGAATGTTTTTAATTCGGCTTTCTGCAATAGATTATGAAAAAAAATATTTTAAATTTGAAAAGTCAGTTTTAGATGGCCCAGTTGGGAAATTTTCAACCAGTTATAAAATTTGTTTTTACAAATTCTTAGTCAATTTTTGATTTTTTCAAAAAAACTTTTATGTATTAATATAAATCAAAAAAAGTAGCACAGTTCATTTTAAGTTTTACTTTAAAAAAATTGAATTACTAATTTTTTAAACTAAAAGTCTTTTTAATAATAATCTAAGGTTGCATTAAAAAATCAAGGCGAAACCACTGTTTTTTCAAACTATAACTTAAATTCACATCGTTTTTTCTCTTTTCAAGATTTGGTTTTCATCGCATAACAATTTGTTGACTCATTAGATTGTTATACGATGAAAACAATGATTCTATCGGTCAAAGTGATAAAGTATTGAATACATACGAATAACATTTTTTATCTCAGGGAGGCATCTTCTTTTAAATAAGAATTGTTGTTTTATTAATTAAAATTATTAATAACTATTTTGTCGCAGATTTTAAAGATTTTTTTCTACCATACATGCGCAAAAACCTCGTGATTTTCCACTATCCTAATATTAGTAATTCATAATTCTGATAAAAATAATTACAATTTAAAATATAAGTCTGCACTGCCGCGCCGCGCCAACGCCGTTGTTAACCAGTTGCATACACCACGCCGCCGCTGATGGATTGTCGGCGCGTCGGCGTTGGTTATCATAACCGAAATTTTTAATTTTAAATAATTATAATATGCTATTCAAAATTAACTACAGCTTTATTTCTATAGAATCGAAGTGCCCACTGAAAATTACCAACCAAAATATTATGAACCAAGCTAATACAGCTAATAATTACTTCCTAGCTAACATGTTTCTAAATATTTGCTAATTATTAGCAGTTATATCTAAAAATTAGATATCCATGTAAAGGCAAACTCATTTTTATGTGAAAAACCATTTTATTGGGTAGAGTGTTGCTGCTAATTTAATTAAATTTTAGTTATAGTTTTATATTAGTTCTTGTTTCCATTCGGTGTGTTTTAAATCACATAATCAAACTAAAAGTGGTATGGATTTGATTTTTTACAGCTGTATTTTGATAAAATAATCTTTTCGATAATAAATTATTGCATCCTACTGTACATATGAATTATCATTATAAGCATATAGTGGCGCGCCGCCGCCGTTAATATTTGATTCGGCGCAGACTTCTTAAACGGGAGATGATCCCTTGGCTGAAATAATCTTAAATGATAAAAATTAAAGTTATCTAAATGAAATGCAAATTTTTAAATTTAATTTCAATTTAATTCAATTACATTTTCTAATTGTACGTAATTCTTGAAAAAAAAATTTACATATATTTAAATATTAAAAACAATTATACATTTCAAATTTTTTTCAACTTGAAAAAAGAACAAAGAGTTTAATATATTTTAAAAATTTAACAAGTAAATATGAACTATCTGGGAAAAACTGAATACTTTACTCGTTTAATCTCACAAATTAAAAAAATGAAAACTTTTTTATATTTTAATCAACTTTTAATCACAATTCAACAGGTAATAGAGCCACATTCTAAAATTGGAACATCTAATGAGCAAGATGATGCTGCAATAAATGTAGAAATCCATTTAGAAAATGTGCAGATGGAAGAGCATGACTACCCCGATGCTTCAATGATTCCGGAAACTGAAGAAGAAGAGACTTTTTCCACGGAATTCGAAGTAAGATTAACGTCAAATACTTGTGTTAATATACAACAATAAGAGATTAATGATTTATTATTCAATTGCTAATTATCAATTTCCTTCTAGTCATGCGTTAAATCTAACATGTCCACCTATGATGATTGTGTAAATATGCATGATGTCATTGTATCTTTAGAAGATGACCTGGATGACATTGAGACTAATGTATTGGAGTTTACTCAGGTAATATTGAATGTAACAATAAATTGAAAAATGAAAGAAAGTATAACCCTCCGTCACTTGCATTAGACTTTGTAACACAGTTACTCGCAGGTGAGGAAACTTCTCACCTTATAATAACTTTGCGTTAAGTTAAGGTAAATTGGAAATTTTGTTTGTAATTGTTAAATTGAGGTTATAATTTTTCAATTAAATATTAAATGAACCTTTGTTGTTGTTTAATATTAAAAATGAAAAATTAGTAACAAATAAATTCCCGACATTTATTACTTTTAAATTCAATAGCATGAAAATAATACAACTAAGAATCATGAAAACTATTTTTACATATAATAGAAGATTACTGTGAAAGATACTGAAATCTGGGGATTATAATTTTATGTATTTTAAGAGAAACAAAAGAAAAAGCAACTAAATGAGGAGTTTTTTCACCATGCAAGGAACGGAAAATTAAAGTATGGTAGAGAGTGTTGAAAGTTGCTTATACGGAGTGTGTAACACACTAAATTAAAACCAATAAAATACCACTGACAATCAATGAAATGTGATTTCTTCTCAGTCATTTACAGTAGACAATTTTTTTATTGTACCAGCCCTATTGAAAAAAAACACGTATAATTATACGTATAATAATACGTATAATTATACGTATAATTGTACGTATAATTATACGTATAATTGTACGTATAATTATACGTATTATTATACGTATAATTATACGTATTATTATACGTATAATTATACGTATTATTATACGTATAATTATACGTATAATAAGACATACGAATTTGAAACAAGAATTATGCGTATAATTATACGTATAATAATACGTATAATTAATTATACGTATAATAATACGTATAATAATACGTATAATAATACGTATTATTATACGTATAATTATAATTCTATTAAAAATAGAATAATAGAATAGAATAATAATAGAATAATTAGTAGCAAAATTGCGCTGAAAATTTTTAGAAATTTTAAAATGCAAATTAAATTTCACGAAAAAAAATATCGTCGAATGTCAATTCAAGCAGTCACCCATCCAAGTACTAACCGCGTCCAACGTTGCTTAACTTCTGTGATCTGATGAGAACTTGTTCCTTCGCCTTGGTGTTTCCGCTGTCTTGTCTTGATTAATAACTTTGTCGTATAAGTATCACTAAAAGTGAGGTTAGGTGCGATACAATACTTATACGACAAAGTTATTAATCAAGACAAGACAGCGGAAACACCAAGGCGAAGGAACAAGTTCTCATCAGATCACGGAAGTTAAGCAACGTTGGACGCGGTTAGTACTTGGATGGGTGACTGCTTGAATTGACATTCGACGATATTTTTTTTCGTGAAATTTAATTTGCATTTTAAAATTTCTAAAAATTTTTAGCGCAATTTTGCTACTAATTAATCTATTCTATTCTATTATTCTATTTTTAATAGAATTATAATTATACGTATAATAATACGTATAATTATACGTATTATTATACGTATAATTAATTATACGTATTAATATACGTATAATTATACGTATAATTCTTGTTTCAAATTCGTATGTCTTATTATACGTATAATTATACGTATAATAATACATATAATTATACGTATAATAATACGTATAATTATGCGTATAATTATGCGTATAATTATACGTATAATAATACGTATAATTATACGTATTATTATACGTACAATTATACGTGTTTTTTTTCAATAGGGAGTGAAATGACGATTTCACTGATTGACAATAAATATTAGTTGATTATCAGTAACTCATTCTTCATCAATTCGTTCACTTTACTGCATAGTTCAATTAATTTGTTGTACCAACTGTAAATAAAACATATTACTAAACCTCAGTAAAATTCTACTACCAATCAGTCGAATTTTTTTGACTGCAAGTGAAAATATTTACTGAATAATGTAGTAGCCTCCTTTTCATTATTTTCTCAATAAAATTTTACAGATTCAGATGACACATCAGGAATATGTCATTAAGGGGAGGGACTGGTGAAATTTCAGCCTACTGAAGTTATTATTGTTAAAAAGTGTCAATTTTTTTTCTGGCATAATTTAGGATCCAAAATTATTATAAATTATTAAAATTTAAAAAAAAAATTTTTTAGCCATTTTAGAAAATTTATTTTTTGGAAAAATTAAATTTCTTTAAATTCCATACGATTGATTGTTTAAAATCGTGAAAAAAGCGTAAAAAAAATTCGACAATAAAAAATAATGAAAATTGTGGAAGTAGTTGAATTTTTTTCAAAATTACCACTAAAATTGAAAGCAATCAAAATTGATCTTCTTTAGGGGTAATAATTTTTTTCAACATTTTTTTTCAACCAAAAATCTTATTCTACTGAGAAAAACAACAAAAGGTAATTTTTAACAATTTTACAAATATTTTTATTTTTCAAAATTTTCATTTTTTGAAAAAATTGAAATTTTTCAAAATCCATACGCTTGATTGTTTAGAATCATGAAACAAGCGTATAAAAAAATCGGCAGTCAAAAATAATTAAAATTGTGAGAGACCTAAAAAAGTCTTAGAATTTCCTACATTTTCAAAAATTAAAAAAATAAAATAAAAACTATTTTTAGATACTTTCTTATTTCTTTTGTGATTTCTAAATTTGAAACAGCGCGCCAGTAGTAATCTGGTGTTTAAAATTAGTTTGTAATTGTAATTAAAAGATAGCAAGATGAAAGGAGTCAAGCGTTCATTTCACGTTTCTTCTGGAAGCCAAAAAGAACTTATTTAAATATTTTGCTGGTCATTTAAAAAGAAATTGAGAGAATCATTTCGAGATATTATGTTTTACCAGAGGGAAAGCAATTTATTCAGATAAATGAACTATTTTCTTAAAAATTATATTTATAGTTCATTTAATTGATTGAATTTTTGCTAAATATGTAACTTTCAATTTACGATAACTTTAAGACAATTATACTGTTGGATATATAATTAAAGATAATTTATTACTTAATAATTTAGAATGATACTGAAGATGATGACCATTTCTTTGACGTTCTGGACGACAGCGATTTTGAAGATAACGTGGATGAAACAGAGAACGCAGAAATTCCAACTGAAGTAAAATTCACTTCTCTAGATGACATGTTGAATAGCAACTCTTTTTATAATCCTATAAATAAGACAATCAAGAAAAGTTTGGGAGAAATACTTCTTGTAATTTTGAAGTATGCACTCATACACGCAATTTCACTAACTGAACTTTATGACTTATGTAATATGATTAATTGTCTGTTCGACGTAGCTGTTCTACCAGCAACAAAATATTTTATCGATAAATTGTTTTATCCTAGGAGTTGTATACATCTTCATGCAACGTGTACAAAATGTGGAGCGTATGTAGGTAAATTTGATAAAAAACTCGGTTTGTAGAATGTAAAGTGTGTAAAGTTGAAATTAATGTCAAAGACTACGCATACAAAGACTTTTTTGTAATGTTAGATATTTCTTCTCCCATTTCCAAGTTGTTAGAGTCAAACTATTCCTACTATAATTATGTAATGAATGAAGGAGTCCATGAAAAAGGCTATATAAGTGATATTTATGACGGAAAACGATATAGAAAATTTCTTGAGAATTTAAATAATGCGGACAAAAATAAATATGCTACTGTTGTTTTCAACACCGACGGAGCCCCATTATATACAAGTTCTACCTACTCTATTTGGCCCATATTTTTGATGATTAACGAAATACCAGCCCACGTAAGAACGAAAGAACTAATATTAGTGGGTCTTTGGTTTGGCAAGGACAAACCTAATATGAACGTATTTTTTGGTCCATTTGCGGACAGCATGAACGAACTATCGACCAATGGAGTTGAATGTAATTTAAATGGTGCTAAAGAATTTATAAAGATTTTTGCACTAATCTGTTGTGTGGATTCAGTTGCACGTGCGCCAGTACAAGGCTTCGTACAATTCAATGGTACTTATGGGTGCAATCAGTGCTTACATCCAGGTGAATGGGTTCGGAATAATTTGAATAATCCACATTCTGGAATCATAAAATATCCGTTACTTGAAACTACGCCAAAAGACAGAAATATGAATGATACTATAAAACACATGAAAGAAGCTGCAAAATCGAAAAAGCCTGTTTTCGGAGTAAAAAGCCCATCACACTTGATAAATTTGAAATTCTTCGACATTATATACGGATGTGTTCCGGAAGGAATGCACTGCATCAGCGGAATAGCGAAGCAGTTCGCTACAATATGGTTCGGTACCAAGAAAAAGGCTGGATTATTTCCTAAACGAACAGTTTTGGACATTGATTCAGTTCTCGTAAATTTCAAAGTTCCTCATCAAGTTGTTCGATTAACTCGTTCATTGAGCGAAAAACAATTTTGGAAGGCCAAGGAATGGGAGAACTGGGTTTTATTTTATAGCATGCCAATTCTTGCGAATATTTTGTCAAATAATTTGTTGATGCATTGGGCATTGTTTGTGGAAGCAGTGTACATACTGTCAAAAGATAATGTTCACACATCTGAAGTAGATTTTGCAGATAAACTCTTGCACAATTTTGTTGCACAAACCGAAATTCTGTATACCAAAGTGTTTATGACATTTAATATCCATCAGCTTTTGCATTTAGCTAGAAGTGTGTATGACTGGGGTCCACTACCAAACCACAATGCGTATTCTTTTGAGTCAGGAAATGGCGATTTATTAAAAGTTATACATGTGTCGAAAGGGGTTCATAACCAAGTATGTAGACGAATTAGTTTAAAATATTGTTTATTAGCTTTAAAAGATCGCGTGTATCCTAATTGTTCTTATAGCGTGAAGAGCTTTTTTACTGAGATTGGTTCAACGATGGTCAAAAAAAGCATACAGGTTTCTGGAATAAGGTACTTTGGTTTAAAAAATAAAGTTAGTAAGACATGGATAGAAAAATTGCATCTTTCGACAGAAGAAACGTTCTCTTACAACAAATTAGTGAAAAAAGGCTGTCTATATATGACATCAATAAAAAGTAATAAACGTTCCGAAAACATCTTCGCTCAGCTTCACAATGGTTCCTATGTGAAATTAAAACAATTTATTGTTGATTTTGAAACTAATAATCAATTCACGATAGTTCAAATTATTGAAACAATAAACGGATTTAATAATAACTGTAAAATGTTAAAGAAAATTGTAAGTTATGACGACGAAGATTCTTCTGTACTGACTAGTGCCATTGAAAAAATATGTGTACATTTGGTTCTTAATGAAAGTGAATATTTGTGCGCCGTTCCAAATTTATATTATTAGAAAACAACAGGGAGGTTGAAACTTCAAAAAAGCGTTACGTATTGTATGGATTAATATTGTAAATATTGTGTGTGTTTTGAAACCTATCGATATTTTTTTCTCTTATTTTGTAGTTTTCAAAACGCATCATCCCCACTATTAGAGAGATCATTCTGCAGTTGTTCTATCCAGAGTTATTAAAAAAAAATTTAAATAAAAAATTATGAAGAAGGAAGTTTTTGCCCTTTTAAAAATCTGATTTTTATCTTAGTTCTAATATATTGCTTCCAAGCTTTCAAGCTGTAAAAGCTTTAAAAATGCATCGATTGATTTACTCATGAACCTTTAATTACTTAAATTTGAGATGTTGACTTTTAAATATTCAGAATTTCAAAAAAATTCTTTTTTGAGCTTTTGTTTTAATTTTAATTTAAGATTTAATTTATATAATCTCTAATTTATTATAGTAAAAAAATGTGATCTCTATGAGGGAGTAATTTAATCCTGAAACTGGATCATATAATAATCTTAGTTAAAATTCATAGTGAAAATTTTGTTTTAACTAGTAAAAGCTATTGAAAAACGTTTGGAAATGAAAAATCCATGTTTTATAATTAATCTTATTAATGAAATATACTTGTTTTATCCAAAGTCTATAATGTTCAAAAATATAAAAAAATGTAAACAATTTTGTAAAAGCGACGTAAAAACAATTTCTTTAAACGAAAAACAATTTATACAAAAAATTATTTTTATGTATATAAAGATCCAAATTGTAAAATTGTACTATAAAAAATAAATAAAAAGATAGTAAGATGTTTGTAATTAATTTATAGTCGGACACTATTTCTAATTTTATTTTACTTAAATATTTATTTCTATTCTGTTTTTTTCATGTACTTGTTATAAAAATATAAAAATAATTATTATCACATCGTATACGACGTCGTAAACTACGACGTATACCAAGTCGCTTACCACATCGTATACGACGTCGTATGCTATCCCAATTTCCACTTTCAATTACGACGTCGTAAACTACGATGTATACGACGTCGTAAACCACGTCATTTACGATGTCGTAAACTACCACGAATATTAACTAGTTTCCGTCGTCGGAATTTTCAACTGGGAACAAGTATTTTAATAATAATTTTCTGCTTTGTACTTTCTAAATAGACATATTTTGCAACAAATAATATAAAAAAGGTTCTAAAATATTTATAATTTGATGATATTTTAAATTAATATATTTTGATGTTAGATTTCGTATCGAAAGTGATAATGACTTTTTTCACGGTTACAGTTCTGCTAATCAAAGCCGAAACGAAAATATCAAATAAACTTTTATGATTAGTGAATTTTTTGTTCACTACGTCAAAAACAGTTTTTTTCGATTTACTTTGAAAATAATGTATCAAATTGTCTAAAAAATTTTGGATGTAGTATATATATGATAACATTATTTATATTTAAAGTTTAATAGATATTATTTGAGTCATTTTTGAAAAACTTCAAGTATCTCATTGTAAAAAGTGTCTCATTGATGCTCATTCTCCCCTACTTAAAACAATTTATAGAAAATACTTACAATTTTTTTATAAAAACTCTTCTCGCTAAGTTTAGTTTCAATAAGCTTAGCCTCATCATCAGTTGTCACCGGGAAGTCGACCATTTCTTCAATAAACTCATCATTTTCCTCTTGACGTGAATTTAAATTTTTACATATATACTCCAGCATCTTTCCTAGGGTATTCAATTTTTTAAATATTCTCACATCCTTTGGGGTACCTAGACAATGAAAAATGAATAACTTTTTAAAACCGAGTCTTTTATTAATGTGATTACTACGAGAAGAATATAATTACTCAACTTTTTCAAAAACATACTTGTTCTCAGAAAAATTAGAAAA